GTGCACAAAATAAATAACCGTCTGTTAAAAATGACGGCGGGAGCGTTTACCCTCGCCCTGTTCCGAGGCTTCCTTGAGGCATTACGGCTATAAGGCGAAAAATGACCCCCCATCTTAACTAAAGAGCCAACTTTAGTCAGAATATTCGGGGAGGTTCGGCGCAAGCGCGATGCAAGATTCGCGGGAGAAGCCATGCGTCTCTCGAATGACCCGACAGAATCTCCTGGTCTCGGGGAACACTCGTCTATCGCGGCAGTTTGTTCTATTAGAAACTGCCTCGTCGATACATAAAATATCCCAGCCAATAAATAGACGTCCGGGCCCAGAAACTTGCGTAACTGATGCCTTCTGCTTCGGCTTCCCATAAGAATGCTTGCTGCATTGACACAAAATTACATCAATGGCAATCCCTGAGGTCGCTGCCTACATATTCGGTCTATAGCCGATGTCTAGGTCTATTGCCGATGTAAAGGAGTACAGCTAATGTTCAGGCTTTTAGCCAATCTCTAGGTCTGCTGCCGATGTAAAGGCCTAGAGCTGATGCATAGGCCTTTGGCCGATGTCTATTTCTTTAGCAGATGAGAAAGTCTGTGGCCGATGTTTAGGTGTGTAGCTGGTGTGTTACATTTTGTCAAACGTCTACTTGAGTTATATTTTAGTATTGCTCAAATTTGACAGTATTTTCATCTCAAAGCAATTGTCAAGCATGAAGACCATTAATAACTATATATGCTAGCATTGAGGATAACCTTATACGAGTATACCACTGATACTTACTGATAACCTTGCGAGTGAACCACTTAATACTGTGTTTTACCGATTTTTTATTACACAATAATAACGAACAATATTGATATTGTCGATCAATAATTTTATTGATAGACAATAACCAAACCAGACTCAACACACTTCTCTTCTAGTCAACCTACTAATTTAACTGGGAAAACAATTCAGATGGCATTGGCAATTTCTGCCATAATTACTGAATTTGAGGTATGAATAGTAAAATTTCACCCTTTTACATCACATAAAAAACATGGTTCCATTGTATAATGCATGTAATCTGGATGATGCCTCCATGATCATTAGAACTTACAATCGAGTAAAAGAATCTCGCGAAATTCCCGTTTTTTCCGTCGAGCTCGGTTCGCTGCCCTGGCATCGCGATGTCCCCGCTCCTGACTCCCTGCTGGACTTTCATTACCGATAGGAACTTTTTGTGGATAGATTGTCGTTGGCGTTTCCCTGCACATACATTGAAAGTAATGATGCTCGTAGAAATAAAGTCTCATGACCATCGACTTCCGATCGTGTGCCCGTTGAAGTTCCAGAGCATGCACCGCCCTTCCGCGATGGGAAGTGAATACCGAAACCTCGAGCAAAAATTTTTGACGATTGGGGAAGCGTGTCCGAAGACGATTTCGAGGCGGCCTCCCTTTATGGCTGGTCACGTGCGGCTGTCGGCCTTAACCCTTTACTGCACGATTAATTCAAGAACCAGGTAAGAATATCATTATGAAAGAGTGGGCTGAATTTAAAGCAGAAAAATTTTCTTTTCACCAACGCTTTACGCTCCTTGTGACCCAGTTGTCTTTTCAGTTCTTCCTTTGTTCCTCTTATCTAAGAAATTATCGTTATGATTTTAAAATTACTTTTTAATCATTATTTTTAATTACTGCCAATATGAGCAGAAAATCAAAAATAATTTTATCGTTTACAAGTGAATTCCATGCGAAAAAAGTTAAACAAAATATAAATAATATGCTAAAAACATGACACACATCCAATGCATATTTATGCAGAAGAAAATTAAGATAGTAGGCTTCATATTCATATTCACTCTAAATTCATACTCCAGAGAACTTCCTATGCTAAAACAAAGTATCACGGAGACCGTGAGACGAACACGGCACCCAAAAGTATCGCCACTAAAAAATAACAAAAATTAATCATGCGAAGACCTGAGGCACTCAAAGTCACGATCCTAAGTTTGCTCATGGTAATTAGGCAAGAAATTAGCACTGCAAAAGTCTGGTAATTTTTTAACAAGCTAAATGAGCTGCGTGACGCTCGGCAACCCGACTCCGGCAGCTACGAATTGTCTCGTGCAGCGCGCGACTGCAAACATTTTCTGCGATACAGCAAACAGAGGATCTCAGTACATTAAGAAAAATTAATGGGACGTGTTGTACGAAGAATGACACACTTGTACACATTGCTCTGATACGCCCATTTGTTGGAACAAATTTGGTCAGGTTGACCCTAACAAGAACACAAGTATATCACTCTTTGTACAATATCCGACTCATATTTATGAGTGTGGCGTTATTGTTATAGTTTACATTGAGTAATCAGTTGGTCACATATTTAATAAATAGAATTACAATAAACACCTTTGTAATCAATAAAAAAGTAAATGGGAAAGTCCATAAATGACATTCAATTTCGTCCCGAATCACTGTGTTCTTAAGTCCACTAATACAACAACGAACAAAGCGATTTTAGAATGACAGATTTTAATTTTTTCATTACTTTTCCTATGAAATTTTATGAATACCATAATTTTTTGCTGTTTCCGGACTTCATATTTCTTTGCTAATAGATTTTGTAGCCTTTGAGAAATGAGTTTCAAAGCATCCTACTAGCATTTATAATCTTATTAGAAAGAATCATAGAACTTAGAATAATCTTATTTAGAATCANATTTATAATCTTATTAGAAAGAATCATAGAACTTAGAATAATTATATTTAGAATCAAAATCATAGCTTTTTAGAAAAAGATTTAATAAATAAAGTTCATATTCATAGCACTAATAAAAACCACTTGCATTAGGTTGAAGCGTTCACAAGAAGTTGCGATATTTAAAAAGAATCTTTTATAAGAAACTGCACAATAACAATTGCTTATGGTGTAGTATACCATATATAGAATGGTAATATGTAACAGTAATATATAGCATTGTAATATGTAGCATTTTAATATGTATCAAGCATGAAATGATTCTTTCTAGCTTCTTCTCGTGCATGCAGTGTTATTAACAGTAGGCTTCCTGGCCTAGCATTTCCTGTAAGTACGTCATTCATCTTCTCGTAGCTCCGTGGCCATGAAACAATTCAAATCAGTTTAGCAAACGACTGCAAGCGAGAGATGATGGATATGGCATCATATTATTTCAAGAACTCGGAGAATCCATCTTGGGTGCACTCTAGTATCCATCTAGTAATGGGTGTAACCCTGCAAATTACATTACGTATGATAACGTATCCTTAGTTTAATCTCGTGAATAATAATTATTTGTAAAATTTTGTGAATAAAACTTCTTCCACATCCAAGACTTGTGAAATGAACTTCATCCCGCTACTTCAATTTGGGCTAGAACATAAAAATCTATAATTATAGAATTATAATTTTTATGTTAATTGAAAAATATATTAATGTATAAAACAATCATTTACAATTAAGTAATAATTATCATTGCCATTATATTTTGCATTGAAATATCAAAAACATGTCCCCAATATAGTTTTTTATATGTCCAAGATTATGTTTAAACTGGTGCCATATCGTGTTTATCACGTCCCAGATCGGGTTTAGCATATCCCTGCATCGTGCTTAACATGTATCTTCATCGTGTTTACTGTGTCCCTAAATCGTGTCTACCACACCCCAAATAGTGTTCAACACATCAACCCATAAATATTTAACGTTCCTCTCGTCAACACTCCTCATGTCCGACCAGAGCACGCATGAACCTGCATCGTAAGCGCCGCCCCAGACACGGCCGTATGTCATGGCGGTGGCCGCACGAACGTCTCGTAAAAAGTGTTATCTGATCGCGGGTGTCGCCGTGAGACAAATGGATTACCTTACGGCAAGCTCGGTTTGGCTCTTGTTACTTCTAAGTCAGATACAATTATTAGTCTCTTAATACGCATGAAAAATCACTTGTCTTCAAATAGCTACTTAAATTTAATACTGCAAAAGAAAAACGAAGAAAGAAGACGCCTCTTAAATTTTAAACTCTGAAGTATGATGAGAAATTTTAAAGAAACAGTTTTGTTTTTGCGTCTTTGATGGCACACAGCACTCGAGCGGACGACCATTGACAAATGACGCGTCCGCTGTCGTGCGTCACGCCGCTCGACTCAAAAGACTTCGCGGAAATCAGAGGCTGTTTACAGAGGGCGCTGCTGTTTGTCAGCATGAAGGATTCGAACCAAAAGATATAATTTCGTTAGCGCCCCAGGTTCGTGACAGCCCGGATGATTGATTACATCCAGTGCCGAACTTTATTGTTCTCTTCTCGGGGCTGCACGACAACAATATAACATCGGACCAGAAACAGATTATCATTGGATTGCAGAGAAATACGAGACTCGTGATGTTCTTTTGTTTGTTACTAAAAATATATATAAGCTACGCAGGATAAAAAATTTGGAAGGTCGTGGGTCAGGAGCCTCGCATAGTTACAAAAAGTTACAAAATTCACGTACAAGTACACAAGTTACAAAGTTCGACGTACAATGTTTGTTAAACGAATGCTAAAGTTAACTAATGCATTATTGATTCAATTAGACTTTTTATTTTTGCACACATTGACGTATCATGAGAGCAAGCAGATAAGAAGCTGAGAAGATCCATTTGCTGGGTTCAAATGAAACGATGGGTGCGATAAAAGCATCTACCGCGTGAGTCGCAGGAACATATGTAAACAAATAATTCAAAGTCCCAAGTTTGCGACAGCCTTTGGTATGACAGCTTTTGTTTGTTCTACGACAAACTAGCTAGCAGGTAATCGGGGTACGTAGACTTGAGTTGAGTTGTTGCCTACACTTAGTCGAGAATTAAATCGGTGTCAAACAAGGGTTACCTGACGAACTTTAATTATATCCAAGCTATCAGTGTTGTTTAACATTACTACACAAACTCAATAGCAATCATTTTCGTGATTGCAATTGAAAAATTGTGACAAATATAATTTTACAACATGAACCGTTTTCAATTAGGAAAATTTTATTTCTCATGAAATTTTGATTTTTTTTCTCAATGTACAAAACAGCGTTTACCACTGTAAATGTTTGCCAGTGAAATCTTTGCATTTCCTAGGGTTATGCCTCTCTACTACGTTATACTGAAATACCGTATGTATAGTGTACTGATAACATTGTGAACCTCACAGAAATAATCAAATGATCCGAATGAATTACTGTAAGAAAAGATCATTTTAACACGAAAACTGCTGTGAACCACACAAAAACCTTTCCGAATTTCCTCCGTCAGATTCAGGCGATATTCAAATTTCAAACGATTCGGTTGGGAGGAAAATCTTTGAATTCACCCTAAATTCGGGTGATTTTCCTTTCCTTTTTTAATTTCCTTCCTTTTATTTATTTGGCTTTTCAATTTGCCTTCCCCCACTGATTTGAGCGACCGTCGAATTTCCTCAACAGATTGTGGTGATTTTGGAGATGCACCAAATGATTCAAATTGTCTATGACTCGGACTCGCAGACAGTGGACAAAGACTCCAAAGACATAAACCAGTGAGAGTGAAGATGGCGTCTTTATCGTGACGGCCGTTGAAGTTGTAAGAGAAGAAGGCCCCGATTGTACGACTCGTAACTTCCCACTGAGGTGTCAGACGTGCTCGATGATCGGCGACTGCATTCTGTTAACCCAGCAAAGATTGCGACAATATTATATCTCTTCAAATGGCAGTAAAATATATTTTGAATTCTAGGTACACAAATACTTGATGAAATAATTGGTCGCGAATGATTAAGGGCATATTTATAAGTAGAAATATTCAAGTTCGTGGTAATTTTTACGAAATCAAAAACTCTTCGGCCGTGTTTTTGTCGAAACATGACTTAATAACAAATTAAGGGAGAAAACTAAAGCAAAAATTAACTTATATAACTTTTTTCCTTTAGTTTGAAATTCTAGGGTAAGGTAAGAAGCAGATTTCGACGTTTGCACGATAATAATCGTATTACCTTCAGCTAGGACGGAGGTGCGGGTGCCTCGTGACGCTTCGCTGCTGGCTCGCTTGCGATTCCAGTTCGCCGTAGATTTGCTACATGAAAATCGTGAAATTAGAAGTCTGGCTGATAAAATAGTATGCCATAGTGAAAAGAAGGGTGGGTGTAATTTAAACCGGTGCTGATAGATAATTTCTAATCGGAATTACGAGAATACACTACGAGCAAATACGCTAAGAGAGGATACAATACGAGTGGATACACTGCGAGAGGATACACTACGAGATAATACACTACAAGATGATACACTACGAGATGATAGACTACGAGAGGATCCAAAATGAGAAGATCGATATACGAGTATATTAGCTTTGTCAGCAGAACAAAATACAATCACACCAAAAAATAACTGATACAAAATGTTTGAGTTTTATCTACTCTACCACCTACTACGCATTCAATTATATACCTGCAAATTTTTGCCTCTTGTTATATTTAAATATCAAAATATCTTGTTTACCTTTGGCTTTGCTGCAGCGACGGAGTCTGGTTGAAAGAGAAGCGCACTTTATGTTCTTGCTTCTGCTCCACTGTTCCTTTGGTTCTTTTAGCGCACTCACACTTTCCTACGTAATTCATTGAACTAGTGATATATCTAAGGTTTTCTGAATATTTTCGCCCTGGTCTGTGTGTTTCATGTGTCTTGTGAAGTCCGATGGCCAGAGTCGGACGCCGCTTGATGCTTGAATCCGGAGACACGGATGGGCTTCTCTTGGCATAGCGGGAGTCCCGTGTAGTCCTTACGAGCTTGGACAACTGCAGGACAGCAAATCAAAGCACAAGGCATGTTAGACCCAGCAAGTGAAAGTATATATCAAGGTTAAAACGTCCCGTTTCTACTGTAGTGAAGGAAGCAACGAAAACCAAGGTTCTTGCTGGGTGTTAAAAAAGAATAAAGCAGAATTTAAACAATAATTTTGATATCAATTTAGATTTGCAATACCAGGAAACGCTCTCTCTACCTATCCTTCCCCTAACTAGCTACCTTGAAGGAGAGCTTGTCGGGCAGGGAGTCAAGGAAGGCCGTCATGACTGTGGCGTTGAAGAAACAGTGGAACACCAAGATGAAAACTCCCTGTCGCGGAAAACAAATTACTTAATTCCCTATCGACAAATGATGTTGATTTAAAGTTTATTTCGTTAAAACAACGTTTATTCAACGTTATACCGTCGCCATATATAACGATACAGGAAACTCTTAACGAGATTTTAAAACTCCTAGCCTGACTTTAGTTAGAACCGAGAGCCTACGAGGATGTTGAAAACGCAACAAAAGTTTGCTAGGAACCTGCTGAGATGGTGAATACGTACCTGGGAGCCAGCTAGGATGGTTAAGACGTACCTGGGAGCCAGCTAGGATGGTTAAGACGTACCTGGGAGCCAGCTAGGACGGTGAAGACGTACCTGGGAGCCAGCTAGGATGGTTTAAGACGTACCTGGGAGCCAGCTAGGAGAAGACGTACCTGGGAGCCAGCTAGGATGGTTAAGACGTACCTGGGAGCCAGCTAGGATGGTTAAGACGTACCTGGGAGCCAGCTAGGTTGGTTAAGACGTACCTGGGAGCCAGCTAGGATGTCCAGCTAGGACGGTGAAGAAGTAAGCCATAACATGGCTGCTTGTCATGTACACGAGTCCACACACCCACGTAACTCCCAGGATCGCGGACAGAGAAATGCTTCCTTTAATCCAAACCCTGGGTTTAGAACATAAAAAGCAGATTTCAATTCAACTTCCTTTGTGACAGTAATCAGTTGATTAACTAATTCGAAAACGCCTGGACCCTCACACCTGAAATCATTATAGCCACTGCGCACGTTTTGAAATTAACATATTTCTAGAGTTGGTTGTGACCCTATTTCATTGGTGATAGTTTTCGGTTAAATATCTTATTCAGAAACGACTAAACCAACTGTCCTGTAATCATTACATCCACTGCGCATGTATAAAAGTATGATTGATCTCAAGTACGGGGGGAGACTTAATTAACTACATACATTAAAAACGATTGGTTTAGTTAGGTTTTGTTGTGATGAGTTAGGTTGGATTGGGTTGGGTGTATTGGGCTGGGCTGGGTTGGTTGCGTTGAGTTGTGTTGGATTGGGTTCTGCTGGGCTGGGTTGGGTATTGCTGCGCTGGGTTTCTTTCGCCTCGTTGAGCCTCGTTAGGTGGGGTTGAGTGGGCTGAGTTGGGTTGAGCTTTTCGATGATTAATAGTGGATGAGAGTCATAGAGCACTGAGTGGCAGATGCTTTATTGGCCTGTCACTATGACGGTTAATTGGACTGTTGGCCAGTGACAAAAAACATGAGGCACTGCCAAACAACAGGGTTAACGGGGATCGCCTCAGCATGAACAATATGGGCTTCTATAATAGGGTTAAATGGGTCTTTTAGCCCTAAAACAAAGACAACAGGGGCTGTTAGTCCCCAACAGAGACAACAGAAACATTAACCTGACGCGCTCCGGGACGGAGCGGCGTCTGTTGATGACCAGCGAGGCGGCTGAGTGCAGGGCGAGCGTCAGCGCCGTGAAGTTCACCTCACCAGGACAATAGAAAAAAGCAATGTCAGCATATTTCTAAAATGTCATTAAATAATCAAGAATTTCATTGAATAATCAGGATTTCCTTCAATTGATCAGGATTTCCATGAAATAAGCAGGATTTCCAATTAATATTAAGGATTTTCCTTAAATAATCCGAATTGTCATTGAAATTATTATTTATGTTTTGCTGTGTTGGTTAATGATCATGAAACCGGATTATATACACGATTATTGTTGGCCGTCAATCTTACCCTAGTCCTGTTGACCGTTGAATTTGAAAAGAAAGTACTCACCACTACCATCACCATCAGCTCATAGTACTCACCACCAGCATCACCATCAGCTCATAGTACTCACCACCAGCATCACTATCAGTGGTCCGGTGAATGCCCATATGTAGCCGTCGGTTGTGTTCAGCCAGCAACTGCAACGTAACAAAACGCAAATCAAACTCAGATGAACGCAACTGACGATTTCTGATGTTTCTTCATGTCAGAAAAAATTCAAGAAATCTATTCTATATTTTCAAGGTTGATAATAATTGACAGATGATCATATTTCCAGGTAAAATGAAGTATGCAAAGTAGGTTTGAAGGTTTTCCATGCAGTCATGGATAAAATACGGTAATATAAGATAAAATATTAAAATAAGTATATATCACTTATTTATCATGGCTATATACGGGAGCCACAAACAAGTATTTGTGCAAAGTTTACCGTAGAGAGAACACCGGCACATTTATATAAGAAAAATTTAAAGTGCATGAGATAATTTTAAACTTTCAACTTCTCAAGTGAAGAACTCCTTAGTAAGAAAAAAATATCATGGCGTGAAACGATCATGAACTGTCGGAGGCTACGTCAGTTATTAATTACTTAAATTTTAGTATTTGAATTATTGTTCAAAATGAGTGGACACTTTATTAAATCAGCACACGCCAGACACATAAGAAATGTTACCAAGAAAATGGACCACGGAGTGGAGGTGAAATTAGAAAACCAAATATCGCGTACGATGTTTGGTCTAGTAACGGTGTGATGTTTGGATATTTATGTCGTCATATTATTATTATAATTATTGTTATCATTATTATTATTAATTACGATATAATGACCCACAGGCACACGGTGAAGGTGTTGGAGCTGCGCGTGTCAGCGTCGGAGTGGAGCACGTGGAACAAGTGGATGCCTTCCGCCAGCATCCACAGCACAGCGCACAGGCACGCGAAGTGGAGAACCGCTGCTGCACCGGTGCATGCCTTCTGCACACGCAGAGAAATGAGTCAGATTTGTCCTAATAACGACATACTTGTTGTCATTTTATGGATCACAGACACGCAAAGTGAAGCAGATCGGCTGCACCAGTGCATCCATTCTGGACACTCAGAAAAATAAGAGCTAGACTTTGTCCAAATAGCGATGCACTTTTGCCATTGTGTTTTATCCTGACCCTACTTTGGCCAGATAAAAAGGTGTATCGGTGCTACGTCCGCTCTCTGCTTGTGCTTCGGGTGAGAAAGTGTGTCAAAGTGTGTAACTTTGACACACTTTTTCATGACACTTTCTCATGACACATTAATTCAGACACTGTAACTCACTTATCCAGAATCTTTTAAGGAAACCTACTTCGCCGAGGCCCAGGATGCCATGTATGATGGCGGTCACGTTTGGTTCGTCAGAAAAAAAATAATGGCGCGAAAATCTATTTCAATAATTGATATGTAAGGCTTGAATGAATTTGGATTAGTTTAAATTATTTAAAGGCAGTTAAATGCTATAGGATTCTTTGGAACCTACTTCGCCGAGACAGGGTGCCATGTTAGAGTCGCAGGGTGCCACGTTTGGTTCATTTTACAAAAAAGAGAAGAATGCGTGAAAATCAATTTCATTGATTCTCTAATAACACATAATAATGCGTTATTAGAAAAAATTAGGCAAAAAAAATTTATTTAATAATAACACATAATTACAATAAAATAATAATAATTTTCTGATAACACACCGAAACGAATTTTGATTAATCAGATTTATCATAGGTAGTTAAGTCCTGCAGGATTGTTAGGAACCTACATCACCGAGGTGCAGGATGTCGGGGTCCAGCAGCAGGCCAGTCAGGAGCTGCGAGACGCACAGGCTCAGGCAGAGCTGCTTTGTGATGCGCACGCGCAGCGACTTCAGCCTACCCGCAATAAATATGAGAATAATAATAGTAAGAATAACATAAAAATAATGAAAATAAATATCATGGTATATCTAATATATAAAATAAAAAAGCTTATAATCTTGATATATAATAAGCTTCACGTGTACTAGCAAGGACTTCCTTGCGCCAATAACATGAAAATGATAGTGAAAGAAATAAGGTTAAAATATCATGTAACATGATGATTGTTATGCGCACACGCAGGGATCCTGCGTTTGCGCAGGATCTCTACAGGAGTGTGTCAGGAAAAGGGATAATATATTATATATGGAATATAATTATTGTGATTGGTACGCGTAGGTCCTTTAGCATGACACTAATGATAGATACAAGACTAAAATATCATGAAGTCTAGTAATAATATTATTGAAATCATAAATTTCGATAATGATGATATACTTCGCAATTGAAGCAGCATTTATACGCAAACGTTCGGAGAAAACCCCTGTACAACGCAGGGAAGTAACTACTTCCCAGCGACGGTAGAGTTGACGGCCGTTATTTTAAACTCTCCTATGAACTTTCTTAGGAGGATTGTCTTGAGGAGATTCTTTGAACTAATCAGTGTAGGAATTTTAATTTGGTTACTATAGTTATCAGATCTTTGATTGAATAGGAAAATTTTAGTCAGGAGAGCAAATTGCGGAACTGGAACTACAGAAGTAAATAGTTACCCTTATTTTCTTCATTAATGAAATGATTCACGGATCACGACTAACCCATTAACTGCGTGGTCATCTCTTGCATAAATGTAGCACGAACCCATCGCAAAGATCCTTCTACGCAAATGACGGTTAAACAACATTTTTTCAACGTTATTGCAACGTCAGATGCCTGGCACTACACTTTTTACACCTTAATCACCTGGACACCTTTAACACGGGCTCTACACAGACCTCTCCAGGCAAATTACGGTGAAATAACGTTTATTCTGCGTTATTTTTTTACACCATAGTCACCTGGACACCTTTAACACGGGCCCTACGCTGGCTTATCCAGGCAAATGACGGTGAAATAACGTTTATTAAGCGTTACTTTTTACACCTTGGTCACCTGGGCACCTTTAACACGGGCTCTACGCAGGCTTATCCAGGCAAATGACGGTAAAATAACGTTTATTCAGCGTCATTTCAACGTCAAATCCCTGGTAGGATACGTTTTAGACCGTCTTCACCTGGACACCTGGAAGATGAACATCGCCAGCAGAAGGGACAGAACCGACAGCGACAACACCAAGGAGCCTAGTATGTCCAGGGCTTTGTCCGGACCCTGCGGATAAAGACGCGCCTTCAAAGACTCGTACACGCAGAGACATAAGTGAGAATTTGTTCAAATGGCGACACACTTTTTGCCCTCGAATGGATTTTCCTAACTCAGTTTGCCGGCAAAAAGGAGCGTTATAAAGCACATTTAGCGCCACTCCGTGACGTCAGATGCAAAGTTTCGAGGGCATGTTACACACTGCATAAATAATAAATAAGTTAAAATATCAGCAAAAATAAAGTGAACATTTCACAAAACACATTTCTCATCTCAATAAATGATATATAAACATTTTTGAGCAGCTCATTCACACACACCGTTCTGAACACGACGAAAGAAATAGATTGTTTTAATTTGACTGAAAAATGCGCCTATATCTTTCGAATGAAGTCCCTTTTCCAACTGGATCAGAAATACACCACATTTTGGACTCAATCGGAAAATTAACCTTTTTATTCATTCAGCATACATCTGCCATACATTTCATTCACCATACATTTCATTCAGCATTCAGCATACAATTGAAATCTGCCAGCTCGTTTTGTTTCGAAGCAATAAAATAATTTTTTAATTATTTATTATTTAAAATAATTTGCTCGTAATTTTATTTTAAAGAATTAAAAAAGATTCATTCGTTTTTTGTAAATAGTTGCATGAAGAATTAAAATTCAAGAGAAGGCTGAAAGTTTTGCTTGACAGAGTGTGCCAACTAGAAGCATAATCCAACATTTAGCAAAGTTTCACGAAATATGGCAATTAGGAGCACAATATATGGCAAAAGGCCACTGAGTGGTAGCAGTTCAGAGTCACAGGTTTGCAGTAGGAAGGTTCGGGTTTGAGTCCAGCTCTGTGCGCCAATTTCTGATCAGAATATGTGAATAGGCCGGGCTGTTAACCCTCTCGTGAGAAGCATAGAAAAATGTAGAAACTTGAATGACTGCAGCCACTACGAGACAGTATGGAGAATTTTAAGATAAATTTACTCATCCGGATTCTCATCTGCGAATTCCGCCTATGCAGTAATTCGCATTTAAGAATTCTATAAAAAGCGGTCACTTCGCTAAAACAAATTGAATTATTTTTAAATGTATTAATTCAAACGCCCAAGGGTAACTATTCAGCTGCAACTTGATTTAAATTATATAAAGCTACATTAAATTCGATAAATTTATATTGCTTTTTCTGAATTTTGCGGAAAGAGCTCCAGTTTCATCGTCCAAGTCGAAACTTCCATTTAAATGCTCATATTTTAATTCCTGTTCATGGCAAGGAGTGATGCTACGTAAGAATGGATAGGCAGATGATTTGAGATTGGCAGAAGCGTGATAACGTAGTGGCCTAAGGCTCAAACCTGGGGACGAATTTTTTTTTTTTTTTTTTTTTTGTACGGAGATTTCAAGTGACTATATTTGGTAACTTGCCCGCTAAAAGGTAATTAATCAAAGAAAAATTGTAACAGTGAGTTGCGTGTTCGAGACCGCAACAAGCTGTGAATGTTCTAAGATGTTATGAATCGGCGACAGGCCTACCGCCTAATAAACGCTAAAACCACTATCATTAGAATTTCCCTAAGCCTGCTGAAATATGGCCGCTAGGCGTATAATACATATAACCTTTCAATCTATTAATCAGTGCTAGACGTACGACGTAGTTGTGGACGTCGGTGAGGACGGCGAACATCGTAAGGTGATCGCAGCGGCAGACGCCGGCGTCACGCTGCCAGGCCGTAAGCCAGCAGCCTGCGGTGCTCCACTGGCTGCANATTTGGTAACTTGCCCGCTAAAAGGTAATTAATCAAAGAAAAATTGTAACAGTGAGTTGCGTGTTCGAGACCGCAACAAGCTGTGAATGTTCTAAGATGTTATGAATCGGCGACAGGCCTACCGCCTAATAAACGCTAAAACCACTATCATTAGAATTTCCCTAAGCCTGCTGAAATATGGCCGCTAGGCGTATAATACATATAACCTTTCAATCTATTAATCAGTGCTAGACGTACGACGTAGTTGTGGACGTCGGTGAGGACGGCGAACATCGTCAGGTGATCGCAGCGGCAGACGCCGGCGTCACGCTGCCAGGCCGTAAGCCAGCAGCCTGCGGTGCTCCACTGGCTGCAACCATCAACAAAATCTTATTAAAATTAATGGAATTTCATTAAAAATCTTCTTGACAGAAATTATTTCTCATTGATAACAGCATCTTATTAAAAGTGAGAAATCGTATTAGCAACATCTTAATAAGAGTTATCTTAATAAGATAACATTACAATTATTAATGATAACTCGTTACAACATTCATAACAGCTTATCTGTAGTAAAGAATATTAACCAACAGTTATAACTGAACCAAAAATGATACAGATATTTCAATTCGGTAAAATCATCTCATTTATGATAATGCGTAATACATACATTGACAATTCTGTTTTATCGTGGTCAATGAAATCTCAGAAAAAAACTTAACAAATACTTGTATGCTTAAAGCAGATTTTACTGCTAATAATCAGCGGCTCGCTAGTTACACGCACCTGCTCGCTAGTTACACGCACCTGCCCGCTAGTTACACGCACCTGCTCGCTAGTTACACGCACCTGCTCGCTAGTTACACGCACCTGCTCGCTAGTTACACGCACCTGCCTGGAGTGTCCCAGAAGACGCAGCGTGTGGACCGCAGAACGTGGGTCGGGACCTCGTCGGGGCGGGGGTTGTGGTGGAGGTCCCTGAGGAGAGGGGGGGATTAAGTAGGTAGAGGAGGGGGCAAACACCAATGATGGATGTGTTGGTTAAGCTGATATGCATGATACCATCCCTACAGGCGCGGCACACATGACATGATAACCATCACCGCAGTTACGACATACATACATGATAACCACCGTCACATAAGCAGTATACGCGATAACGACTGCAGCTTCGGAATGTTATCGCAAAATAAGCTCATTCCGATGGTGCGATGTAATTTTAACGCAAATCCCAGCACTGAAGCAGGTAGAGCGATCTTTATACTTTTTAAAAATATTTTTCGTTACTTTGTTGCCGTTCGTTGTTGATAATTCCGGTATTCTTTAATTTTTCGAACTTATAATGAAGTTGGTCTCAGTGACGTTTTGAATGAAAATCCCAAGAATATGATTGACATTTTTGCTTTGCAAATTCAAGGTGAAAATATTTTTTTGTTCAGATAAAAATTATGGCACAATTAAATACAATTTGGCACTCTGTGGTGCTTGAATTGAAGTGTCAGTAATAGGTCCAAAGAAAGTAATACATAAAGGGAGAAAAAGGATACACCTAAAAAGGATACAAATCTTCGCACTTAATTAATAGGATGCCATACTTACATAATAATTAATACATGGCACTTAGGGACAAAAGAAGTCCCACTTAGGGACACACGGCATTCCACTTAGGGTCAGGAAGTCCACAAATTTAATAGACCTTGTTCGAGGGAACAATACGTCACATTAGGAGGCTGGTAAGTTGTTGTCTCACCGATACGTCGGCCCATAATACGTCACATAAGGAGGCTGGTATACGTTGTTGTCTCACCGATACGTCGGTCCATAATACGTCACATTATAAGGTTGGTACGTTGTTGTCTCACCGATACGTCGGCCCATAATACGTCACATAAAAAGGTTGGTACGTTGTTGTCTCACCGATACGTCGGACCAAACTCGACGTCGGTGTAGGTGAAGGACACATCGATGCCTCGTCCTGCCTTGAAGTGCGTCCTGCTGCCTGGCGCCTGGAGGCTCACGCTGGCAATTTCGCTATTCACGTCCCGCAGGGAGCCGTTAGGGATGCTGATGACCGAAGCAAATGATTATGTATATGAATCTTTAAATGGTTGTTTTAAATCATTACTAATTATATTTCATATGTAAATTGATAGAATGGTTTATAATTCAAGTGAGACAGGCCTTCCTTCAAAACGCCAAAACGTTTGTGGATAAAAAGAGTTCAGGCAAAAAAATTACATTAATCAACAATTTTATGGCCCCCAAAGCAGGTATAGGATATCATAAGTGAGCCAATTTGTAACGTGTGGATGTAAATTTAATGCTCTAGCGTGTATTTTTTTCTATCTGAATAATTTTAGACAAAAATGAGCATTAAGCGGCTGCTTTTCCACTTATTTTACGCCGAATAAATAACACTGTGTAGGAACGGCCTGACGCACGTAGTAAAACTTCATTCGCCTGTTTGGACGAGATATTTAAGTCTATGCTTATTAGTAAAATATAATAACTTAATGTCTGAAATTAAGTAACGCGCTAAATATACATTATTTTGTTTTTAATGAGATATTCATAACATTTTCATTAGGAATTCACTTGTTATGGGTGCCTGGTAGCGGCCGTCGCGCCGCGCGCGTCGACACGAAGAGCGCGACGATCTTGAGGGGCTTGACACCGTCGTCAGCCACGTCCTGAGCGAAGCCCGGCGCCAAGAACACCGACGTGCGGCCGCTCGGGGACTTGAACTCGAACGAGAGTGACGAGTCATTCAGTCTGTAAAGGACAGGGACGATGTACAGTCTGTACAGGATAAGGACGAAGGGTACAACCTGCTCATGTCTGCACAGGGTACATGCTCATGTCAGAGACGAAGGGTACAGACTGATCGAGTCTGCACATGACAAGGACGATGGGTACAGACTGCTCATGTCTGCACAGGACAGAGACGAATGATACAGACTGCTCAGTTTTGCACAGGACAGAGACGAAGGGTACAGACTGCTCAGGTGTGCACAATTGTTTGAAATTTAGCAAAGGAAAAAATATTTCAGGAAAGACAATTTAGGTTAGTTTTGTGTGCTGGAGTCAGCACGACAGACATCGTAAGTTTTTCTCAAGCACGGACGGCAATGCGAAATGAGAATGCAATATGGAACAATATGTAATGTGGATGCTGTTTGTCTGGATGAAGCATGTTTTATGATGTGTGTATAGCGTGTGTATGCACTGATTGAATACAAAATGTCAATTCAGTGCGTGAATGCAGTGGTTAGATGCTCTGTCTGGCTAATGTGATCTCTCAATGATAGAAAACAGGTATATTAAAGTCTTCCTTAGGAACTTTATGAAGAATATTATGATATACAGTATACGGAGTGAATTTAGACCTGCGATAGCGAAAGTTTATCGTCGGCAGTTGGCCGGCCAATTTAAAACCGTGAGAGGTGTTCACAGCAACCACGCCGAGGCCAGAGATAATAGCGGGCGAGTGAAGCAATCATTTGAGGTATCGTGAACCCTGATGACGAATGCAGTCAGGAAAATAAGTGAGACATTGTACAAATAGCGATGCACGTTTTGTCTTCGCGCGGGTCATCCTGAGCCTGTTAATTGGCGCGGCAAAAATGCGGATCAGGACTGCGTGCGGAAAATGTGAGACTATTCGACAAATTATGACCCATTAATTTATATGAGTGTGATTATGGATGGGTGGGAAATAGTTATCATTCACAAATTAATATTGTTGGTGCTTCATTAGTAATGATGCATAAGGTAACGTTTTTTTTCTGACAGTGCAATGCAAAGAAGATATAATGTTTTGAATGCACATTACACATGTTATTTATTAGACGCTTGTGTATGAAATTATCATATACATAATAGTATCCGGAATGTATTACAAATTATAAAGAGGATTCCTACTATCACGCATCAATGTGTCAAGAATAGTGAGCAATTATCTAGAGGCTAGCAAATGTCACTTCAAAACTATGGAGAGCCTCAATAAAATTGAAGCAATTTATATTAATTGAAAATCTATTTCGCGAACAGGAAAAAATTCTTTCTCGGTTGAAGACTAACATTAATTAAGTAGCTGACCACCGATAACGCTGTTGCACGTTAATAAATTAAGGCGCATCCATTTATCAGTGGCGAGATAAGACATTTGTCATGAGATTAGATTACGATAAGTGCACACTGCAGCTCACACGCGTGGTCACAGTGTGGGAACCACAATTACAGCACACGAGAAACACAACGCCGTAATAAAGAATATATTTCAATTTTTCATCAAATATTAGGAAAATATACAGAACTTTTGCAGTACGAAGGGATTTCTTATGTATCGAGGAACCAGAAAATAGTTTAGTTATTGAAACAATCTTCATTATATTTGCTTGCTGAAGACTAAATACTCGTACATGCATGAGTTACCCCCAAGTTGTGTGATATCGACAACTTTAAAAGCAAAACAAATTTATTTCATTAACAATGGAAGGAGCCATGTGTTTCATAATATGGAATTGTCTTACTTTTTAACACTGCCAAGTTCGCATAAACAATAGAATATTCTCAAACATTAGATCCTTAGCGTTTCTGGAATTTGTTCGACAATGACACGTGATTATCTTCACGAAGATTTTGACCGGCGCATGTCTCATGCTAACCACTCAGCAAGCATGATGAACCAAGTCTTTATTTTAGTCCACCCTGCACTCCTCTGGCTTTGACATTTTCGTTCGTTAATGAGCCTCAAAGCACCTAAATTCAAATATTTTCAAATAGTCTCTTCGGCTGGTATCCTAGGCACATTAATCTTTAGAACGACTGTATAATTTTTACGAAAATTACCGAAAATGTTATTGGACTTGTCTTCGGACGGCAAATGACTTCAGCAGGAAAAGATCACCGCCTGCCTCAAGGCTAAATTAAAAATCAGGAATATTGATTTTAAAGAATGTTCACTCTGTGATTTTAATACCAATTAAAAACCAACAATTTTCCTCTCAGAAATAAGTTTCACATTAATTTTAGCAGCCAGAAACGAAACTACCGAATTACTCAATATTAAACGTGTGCACGTATAATTTGAATAGAGCTTATTATATCTTATCCGTTAACTTAATCAGCGAATTTTTCGGTAGAACGTTAAGGTCAATCGGCATCTTTAAGTAAGCGATAATAACTAAAATTGCGTCCATACTTTTTTTTAATCGACGAGACAAATGAATCTCCTAAATATAGTAAAAGTAAGAAGAACATATCGGTAAAAAAGAACTTTTCTTTCAGAATAGTTTTAGTGAACTGAATTTTCTGTTTTCTTTTATCAAACGTGACGGATAAGTTATTGGTAATAAAATTGATTTCCATAGTTCCGAATCTAATCTTCAGCTCTTTCATAACATACACGAAGAGATTTGCAGCGAGATTATTCAACATAATAGTCCGTTTTCCATTTAAATTATTAACGAAATGAATGAAATGCAAAGTTAAAGGATATAGAGACGAGCGAGATATGCTTGCGGACCTCGTTATAGTCGCTAAGTAGCAACACGCAAATCACGCTTCTGAGTGCATGGTAATCGTAATCTCCGGGGGGATCTGTGCTCCGAAACACCGACAACTCATCTCGGTCGCCGCTCGCATGGTGCGAGCGGCGACCGAGAAAACGCCATCTTCTTATCATCATCAAAACACGAGCCGTACGCTAAGAAAATCTCATCATTAAACCTTCTCGCTCATGATCAAGGCTCTATAAAGTCATATTGTAATCATTCTTATCGGAAGTCGAGTGCGTATCGCCTGATCTTTCCAACGCTCATAACTCTTCATGTAGGTCTGCTTGAGCTTTGGCCTCTATAGGGAAATTCCCATGCTGTTATTTTGTTTATCATAGGAAATAGCCCTAATATTAGGAACAGTTCGGGAATGTTTAATTACCAATAATCAATATCCCAAGGATATCACCACATTGTAATGATCTACAGTGATTATTTTGATAGCTAAATGGTCATCTACGTCGAAGCTTTCAATAATTCTTAGACTTCTCGTTTTACCAAAGTTAAATTTTTTATCAAACACAATGAGAACCCATTGAGATCAGAATTAATAAATCTGGACTAAAATTAAAATTTGCTAAAGACATACATATCAGTTGAATAAATAATGAGGAAATGCTTCGTCAAGTCATAAATTTTCATTAGAGTGTGACTGAAAATGTAGCTCAATAACCGTGACATAATCATGAAAAGCTCAGGACTGTCGGCGTACACTCACCGGCCATTGACTGTGACAATCATGAGTAGCTCAGGACTGTCGGCGGACACTCACCGGCCGTTGACTGTGACAATCATGAGTAGCTCAGGACAGTCTGTGGACACTCACCTGCTGGCGACCGTGACAATCCTGAGTAGCTCAGGACTGTCGGTTGACACTCACCTGCTGGCGACCGTGACAATCATGAGTATTTCAGGACTGTTGATGTTGAACTGACGAACATTCTCCCGCGTGCCGTTCTGGTCAAGTATAACTGCGTCCGCAAGCATGAAGCCGGAGTTATCCGCGATGGCTATGAACTGCGGACCGTACAAAGCCGAGTTGTTCTGCACGACGAGAGGTTGGTATTTTAAGAATTGGGATTATTTTCGACGAAATTTTTGCTTCAGTAAAGTTCATCGACGACTATTTTTTCCACAGCGAATAAAACAGCAGATATTGTTGTACTATACTCATAGCCACGTTCGATGCCCATATCGAGGAAATAGTCACGCGCAGCCGGCAAAGGATGGGGTGGATATGGCGGACATTTCGAACGAGAGAAGCAGCACTAAGTATAACTGCGTCCGCAAGCATGAAGCCGGAGTTATCCGCGATGGCTATGAACTGCGGACCGTACAAAGCCGAGTTGTTCTGCACGACGAGAGATTGGCATCTTAAGAATAGTTCCACTGAGATTATTTCAGACGAAAATTTTCTTTAGTATTCCCGTTTCATCGACGACTATTACTTCCACAGCGAATAAAACAAATATTGCTATACTATATACTCAATACTCATACATTTATTTTGAAGTCTAATATAGATTGTCTTGGATTATACGAGTGTTACAATGTAACATGAGGAAAAAGTATAAACATGCTCAATGTGCATCGGTATGTTATGAAGGAATACGGAGCCTATACAGAGAGTAGCTATATAGATGATACTTATAGATGTTACAACCAATATAGTGAACTCTGGCAGAAGAAATGATGTAAAAGAAAGTTTGATATCATAGATTGCTAAAAATGCCAAAAATGAAAATATTTCTTTCTGCAGCATCTAGTTTGTTTTTATAGTCAAATAAGGCTAGCCACCGATTTTTATTTGTAGCATCCACTTTATTCTTAGAGAGCGGTCAAAACAGGCAATACTGGAAGGCAATTACACCATATTTTTCCGCTGACCATATATTTCCGCTGCAACTTGTCATTTATTTATGATTATAAATAATAATTTAAAGTCTGCTCAGTGCTCAATGACACATCCTTTACAATATATGACAAACGCGAAGTCCATCGCTATTTAAAATTAAATTCATTTTAAGCTATTTTTAGGAGCTAGCGGGCTTGTATGGTCGTATTGATCGAGTACAAAATATGGATTTATGAAAGTAAAACATGAAGCTTTGATATCAAATAACTATGGTGAAGGTATAATCTTCATATCTTATCTCCCGGCCGTCAATAACATTGATGAATTGGGATTTAATTATGACCCTGCTGGCATATTGATAGCGTACCGGTAACAGTCTTAGAAACGGTAAAAATCGTCATTAATTGCTAAAATACAATAGCATACTCAGAAATGCAAAGTATTAAAAAAAACATTGTAAAATAATCAGCAGATTATTTGAGTTTACGTGCAATGCGAGTGGGTAATTCAACAGATTTCCGTTATATAAATAAGTTCTAATCTTTAAGTAACTTAGGGAAATTTTTAAAAACAGTATTCAATTCTGCAATGTTATTCAACAATATAATATGGTAATTAAACATTTACTTGCCTCAATATTAAAAAAATCAGCATATTTTCATTGGAAACATGGAATTTAAAAAAATATAATATAATCATGTAATACTTATGTTTGGAGTATTTGGTAATGCTTCTTCCATTTTCACATCACATTTTTATTTTTCAGCCGCGACTCACCTCACCGATGGTGTCCCAGGTCTGGTTGTTGGACAGGACGCTGCTAACGATGTTGAGAGTTTCTTGAGTGTAGTCCTGGGCTACGGACACTCGAGGCTCGCCCTCAGGCACCTCATCGAGCTGCGTCTTCTCCAGCATCTCGAGGGCCGCGAGCTCCTCCAAGATGGCGGCCAAGTCGTTCAAGCCTAGGGTCCTGTTGACTACCTCCTTGTTGATTTCCCTCGCTATCTCGGCGCCAGAGGTTGTCCCGTTCTCGATCTAGATTAGAAAGCAAATAGGTGGATGTGTGCAATGCATTACTTTTCTAATGTAATGCATTTGGAATGTCGGCGACCATTACAATCGGCTCAATAATCAAATGTTTTCATATAAATTAAAATCACCAGGCGCCCACGTCACTCACCATCTCGTGGATCTCGTCAATCCAGGCGAGGGTGCATGTGTTGCAGGAGGTGAGTAGGTCAAGGGTTCGCTCGTCGCAGGTGACGGTGATATTGCCGTTGTAGTCGGGACGGCAGGCGATGACGACCTCCTCCCCGGGACACACAGGGATCAGGTCCTCTGTGTTATCCGCAGACCTTGTGCAGGGTACAGTGTCCCTCGGCTCGTAGGAGGCGGAAGCGGACGCAGGAATGTCCTGGCACTCAGGGTTCAGGAGACAACACGCTGAAGGGGAGGGGGGCATTGTTGCATGAAAGGTTTAATGTGGAGGTGAATTTCAGTAGAACAATAGATTAAGATTTTTAATGAGTTGCGTGAGAGGATTAGTGAAGAGGTAGATTTCAGTAGAACAGTGGACTAAGGTGTTTAATGAGAGATTTGTTGTATTATCTGGGCCGGAGTTGAAGGTGGGTCATAAGAACCTCTTGCCCGATATACCAGGTATGTGCTGAGACTATTAAAAAGAATTTATCGGTTAGATTCAAATGTTCCAATGTATTTATGCGTGAATAACTACTAAATTACATATTCATGTAAATTCAGGTATTCGTACGGAACCTTAAGCATCATGTCTCTTAAATTACACACAAGCTTCATTGAATGATCGCATATCTGTTCCAAACTGTTCAGTGGTAGCATGAGTTAGGTTACTCACTCTGCGGTGGCAGTCCTGGAGTGCTACCGCGGCTCGGCGTTGTGGTTGGTGATGGATTTTTGGTGGTAGTGGTAGTGGTAGTGGTACTGGTGGTGCTGCTGCTGGTGCTGGTGGTCGTCCTAGTGGTGCCGGTGCTGCTGGTGGTTGTTATAATGGGGCTAGGAGTGGTCGTGGTAAAAGTAGGTAACGTTAATTCCGTGGTAGATGAAGTTGTGGTTGAGGAAATGGTTGAGCTGGTTGTGGCGGAGCTTGCGGAAGTGGCTGAAGTGGTTGTGGTTGCCAATGTTGATGCGTTGTTGTCTGATTCTTGACACAAAATATACATTTTAGGACCCAAGTCTTTGCACTCAGAGTCTTCGCTGTACAGAGTCCATGAATGATATGTGCTGTAGTACGCAGGGTCTTCGGAGAGATCTGTGCTCCGAAACACCGACAATTCATCAGTACATGTGTCATGAAGAAATTTATTAAACATTATTCAATAGTCGAATGTATTCCAATATATCTTACAGAAGCTAGCTTACTCATCCGAACTCATTTTCAATTATATTATGCAATCAACAATGATACGAATGTTATCAATAAACAGTTACACTTCCGCAACCTTTTTCACAGTGGGGCGCGAAGTTTCCGTCTAGAAAGACCAGGTAGGAGCCGTGTGGGATGGTTATGTGTTGACCGAAGGGATGGCCATCGTAGAACGAGAAGACCATGCTCGGGATCCCTGCGTCTATACCCCGCTCTTCATCAGGTCTTCCTTCCCATGCACCTGTAACGAGCGCCGGAAAAACAGCATCCGTAAATGACTCTGTCCATATGAGAGATTGTCAAAAATGGCTACGAGTTTGTAACTTCGTCAGCCAATAATATACGGTGTTTCTAGCTTAACCCTTCAATAATAAACAAGACAGAGGCCGCTCCGCTCTATTCTGTTGGGCCGCTTTGCTTCTCAGGCCGCTTTACTCTATTAAATTCATTTATGTAATCTGTAGGGAAAACCTACATTTTCAAATTAATTCAAATTAAAACTTTCATGCTTTAAATTTAATCATGAAATCATCTGAATCGAATCAATCGATTCACTTTTTTAGTGTTCTTTGCTCTATAGAAGTGCGCTACTTTACTACGTTATCTGCGAATATTATACTATTCAAACATTAGCCTTAAGTCTTTATCTCAATTTACAAAGCATCAAAACCTTCAACTGCTCTTCCTATTTTTCCTGTCCAAATTTCCACCCCTTAAACTGATTTCCACTATTTTCCTCCAATTGCACTTCCTTCATAAAGTGATCACCACGCTGGGCTTTAAAACTCAGATTCGTATTGTTTTCCGTGCAGAAGTGATGTTTTGATCAATTAGTAAAACCGAAATTAGATTAGCTTGGAATATCGCAAGAATTATAATTTAAATTTATTTCTTCTACAGTCTACATTTAATCCGATCCTGAGACTTGCCGGCCAAACTTTATTTCTACGTCAGGCATTCATCGTCCTGTTCTTTCGATCCGCCATCTTCAATTTCTCGTGAACCGTATTCTGGAGATTGCATATTGGGATTCGCCTCTTAACGACTGAACTTTGTCTACATTACAATGAAGCAAAGCCACTCCAAATCAAACTAAAAACTTTGTTGAATACATTAAAATAAAAGCTTTCTTGATTATTTTCCCGTAAATTATGCTGGAACACAGTAAGCTAGACTAGTAGTGAAAGGCTTAACTATAATATCACCGTTAGTCTACAGCTGCTCGCTTATAAGTAGGCAGTTCTGCATCCTGCCGCGCTTACTCCAGCTTAGCCTACTCTGGCCTAACCTCCCAACGTTGTCCCAACTGTCAAACTTTGAGAGTTGGCGGCATCTCCTCATTTACTCCGCCACTCTACCTTCCAGCAGTCAATGAAGTGAGGCTAGGTCCGCTCAAGTTTGTTTTATGTTGCGAGTCGGTTGGAGCGGCGTGAAAAGGTTAGGCCAAAGTTTGTTTTTAAGAGATAGTTAGGAAATATGCAGCTACGACCAAGCTGAAGCTGAGCATACTTTTAAGGGGATCGACCTGGCATTTTGAAAACTTCTACAGTTATTATCCGATTGTCATGAAACTTCACATACATACGTAAAATGTGAAAATAAATCTTAATAAAACATAAAGAAACATAAATCTTGAAATAATATGGCCTCTTTAAGGCCGTATAAGGCTAAGGTCACTTTACGGCCGCAAAGAGCCTTAAAGGCAGGCGGGCACAGCCGTGAGCCATAAATTTAACTCTAAAGTAAGCCATGGAACTAACGCCCAGCCTCAGCATGCAATTACTAAACTCAGCCTCGGAGATAGAATTCGTAAATTACGCTGAAACATAATAAGCCAGAGTAGTAGTGAACTGCTTAAATATAATATCACCGTAAGTCTACAGCTGTTCGTTTAAGCTCGCTTACAAGCAGGCAGTTCTGCGTCCTGCCTCACCTACTCCGGCTTAGCCTTCTCTGGCCTAACCTCCTAACGTTGATGTATTTAGGAGATAAGAAAGATGCGGCAACGACCATGCAAAAGTTGAGCATACTTTAAAGAGGCTGTGGACTGCCTGTACTGACGGGACCTCTCGGTCCCAGGCCTTTATGTTCGAATAGCATTTACGACGGTAAATGTATTCGTAGGCTATGGGTAGAAACATTCAACTTCATAGGCTACTATTGTCTCTGGCGCGCTAACCCACGGAGAGAATCACTAGCGAAAGTGTGAAGCTCGGCTATGCAAACCTCCTGCGTGTACACCTAAAGCGGGTACTCACTGCCGAAGGAGGTCGAGGGACCGCAAAGGAGGCAGTCGACCAGCTCAGACAGCTGGTCCCTGGTGCTGATGGCCGCGGCCTGCCAGCCGTGGGGACACAAGTTCATTTCCGTCAGATCCCACAGTGAGTGCCCACACATTTGATGAGGTACTTCTGCGTAGCGAGGTCATGGCAAAGCATTAACCTGGCCAAAACTTCGACATACCAATAGCATTGACATAACAATAGCACTGACATAGCAATAGCACTGACATGACAATAGCATTAACCTGCAAATAGCACTGACATGTCAATAGCATCAACCTGGCAATAGCATTAACATTACATTGACATAGGAGTACCACTGATATGGCAGTAGCATCGACATGGCCATAGAATTGACATTAATAAGCTCCTACACTATGTAAGTGAACCGCTAGCAGCTCTTCTATCAGGTATGCATTTTTTTAACGAACATCTTATACATAGAAGTTTAGATTAATCGAAATTCTAAACAGTCTTGCAAGCTTTGTTTCCATCGAAAAGCTGTCACTATGAACTTGAAACGCAGCTCAGATAACCAGAATTATTAAGCAGAAAATTTTATTTTTTAAAGCGATAATAACTATTACTTCTAATACTCACATTATTATGATATTTTGTTTGTACGTAATATCTAATTAAAAATTTAATGTCAATGAGGAGTTGTGGATGTACCTGTTCTAAAGGGCCTTCTCTTAGAACGCAAAATAAGTAATCTGTTTAATTGACTGTGAATATTTTGAAGAGTAATCGTTGAAACTAATAATAATTTATAGATGAATAATACGTACCAAAGACTTTGAAGTTTATTCCGCTGGCTTCGCATTGCTCATGCTCGCAGTGGCAGTTTGGGAATGGTTTGTCATCAATAACTGACCGTACTGAAGTGACATCGATGGGAATGACGGAAGTTTCATTGGTCGTGATCATGCCCTGTACATTAACATCGGGCCGAATGGTGCCCAGTGAAGTCACATTGGGCGTGAAACTGACCACTAATGTATCGTACAAACACAAGAGGACGAAAATTCTTAGCATGGTCCAGTCTTCTTTTCTTAACACGAATAGCCTTTGCGTTTCGGGTTTCCTATGTAACACCCGCATCACAGGAAACGTGGTAGTCAAAAAATATAATATCACCACTCATTATCAATACTATCTAGAAAGATTAAATATTTTAATGTGATGATGCATCCTATCTTTGGCAGACTTGATCGACACACTATTTTGGCAGAGTTTGATCCTATCTGCCGCGGAACACCGAACGCAGCCGCGCACAGACGATGAAAAGTTTAACACTGCACGAAGAATCTCTCTCATTAACAGGACAGTTCTTGTCTATATTGCCTTGAGCTTCCACTAATCAGTACATGACCAGCAGTCAGATAAAGTGTCTTATCAAATCACTTGGAGAAGAGACGAATCGTACGTGAGAACAACAGGACCAATAATTCGGGCAAACTAAAATGATTAATACTGTAACAGCCTAACAGGATAATATTCTATGTATTAACTCGAGCAAAACATACTACAAATCAATTGATGTAAACAAGGTTTTTCTGAGGCTGTCGTCCAATTTACGCGACTCCTGTATTAAATAAATTAGGGTCTAATCGACTTAGAAAAGCAGGTCTCGAGAGTTCTTTTATGAAGCAAATGACGGAAACCTTGAAGGGCTGTCAAGGAAACACCTGTATTTGTAGCTACATTTGAATCACAATTAAAAACGAATTTGAAATGTACGCGGATTAATGGTTACATATCATGAGTTTATAAGCTTAGCCGTTATGCACAAACTTTGCTCTGGATTTCGAGCCGTTTTTGCTACTTTCGTGACCCAAATTTTGCTTCCATCTGCAAGCTCTAACTATAATTTTTTTTTCATCCGAAACTTGAACAGTTCATCTTTCGTCGAAAGCGTCGGCCATTTTTTGCGTTATTTTGAAGTTGTACTCCATGTTAGAGTTTGTTTTCCTTATCTACGCTGTTTTTTGACGTCAGGACCTCTGGACACAGAAAATATTAGTTTCAAATGTGGGCACAACCATTGTAGTTATATTTGTTTTACTATTGAAAGTGAAACGCGCAGCTTAATTTTTCTCATCATTACCCTAATTAATCTTAAACAACAAACCAATAATTTTGGTTTGGTCGTTTTGATAATAATTTTTTGTTGTCTTTCATATTGTTATTGTAACTGTTAATATTTTATTATTGCTTGTTTATTTAAGCCCCACTGGTCATCATTCTAGACGGCTGCTTCCTCTCTCTCATTCTCCATGCTCTCTCCATATATCGCTTTCCACTCTCAGCCATAGTATTAGTTACCCCTGCTGCCAGACCCACTATCAGGGTGGGCAGGGTGGCCCAGTGGCGGGCAGGGTGGCCCAGTGGTTAAAGTTCAGAGTACCAGGATTGGAGCAGAGAGGCGCGGGTTCGATCCCAGCTCTGTGCGCCAGTTTCTGATCAGAATCGGCAAGGAGGCCGGGCGGTTATGCAAAGCAAAAATTGAAGCAGTGAGCTGTGAAGTTCGAGCCCGCAACAAGCTGTGAATGTTCTGCGATGTAAAGCCGCTATTATTATTATTATTATTATCATCGCAATCCATTACGACTTACGACTACGAATGGAAATTACCCTCAATTTTGTAAGATGAGGCGTCCGCTGGAGCGGATGACACAATCCATCATAATTTTAAGCACCGGGTGAATCTTAATTAAACATTTTTTGTAGGGAGGACAGTTTAACTTTTACATTTAATAGATTGGACTTGGAGACTGGAGAGATTATTCAACATTTCATGTTTTGGATTTGTAATTATACGTCGTCTTTTTTTATTACTTCGACGAGCTTCAAAGTTGATAGACGTGCATCAATTTCACATAGGCTATATTTAGACTACCTGA